TTAAGTTCTCGAATTTTAGGGCACTTCCAGAAAAACCACGAGCAGGGTGTTAAAGAGGAACATCCCTTCTATAGCCCCTATAGGGGATTTTCTTCTAACCTCTCTGTAACTTCTTTAATGCGATGTCAAAGTTAGGTGTTCTATTTAGAAATATATGCCAGGTCAAAAAAATTAATTTCTCAAATTCTGGAGCATTTCTAGAAAAACTTTAACAGGGGTTTTTAAGAGGAACTACGCTTCTATCATCCCTGCGAGGACTTCTCTTTCAATCTGCGTTTTGGTATGTAGGGAAGTTAGGTACATTTCTCGGTGTGTGGTTCACTTTTGAAATAAAACGTTTCCAGATGACGAAGAGGATAATCGTTTAATTATCAGGATACAAATTTTTTTGACAATCTTTGTGTAACTTTGTTAGCGAATGACACGTCTTCGATTACATACTACGGTGCACCCATCAAACAGAAAGAGATACGTGTCTAACAATGTCTCACGTGCTCGTGTTTCTACACAGGTACATGTGTTAGCATCTTGTAAATATACAAATCTCTCATTCAATGGAGATTACATATTTAACTTATCGTGTTAGATATATCACGATTGCACTCGACACAATTTCCATTACGAAGGAGCATCAACTTGTCGATGTGCTTGTTCTTTACAAGAGTCGTAGAACATGAGCTTCGTTCCATTAACGGTTTATCTCTGGACTCTTTATCCATTATTAATTCCCACGAACCTGTAACTCTGCCGTACCACAGTAAAACCTAGTAACTCAAAATTTCAAAGTTGTGGGTATACGCGTTGAAAGTTTATAAAAGTTAATTGTTTGTAACGTTGTTCCTATACCACACACAATGTCAATATAAAACAAATTTATTAATAATTTTGTTGTGAATTCAAATTTTAACTTAACATGTGTATATTTTCGAAAAGAAACCGAAAAAATTAAAAAAAAAAGTTACTAGGTTAGGGTACGACAGGTAATATGCTAAAGTAAAAGCAAGCAAGTCGAGTTGCTCTATTTACTACTCCTGTTTGACTAAACAAATCGCAGTAACTCGTCAAAATCACTATAGTTTTTCACCATTGTTGAAAGTAAAACCTAGTAAGTCGAATGAATCATAAAAAAAATGAAACATAATTCTGTTGTTTTTAGCTAGTCGACTTACTAGTGGACATAGATCTCGCTAACGCATCATGTCAATCAAATGAAGTGATTTAATGAATTAAATGCTCAAATATTTGGACAAGTTTATTCCGTATTAGTAAATTGTGAAACGAAACTTAAACAAAACAATACTTAAGTACGTAACTATGTATCATATATATAAAATACAAACAAAAAATAGGAACCCTTTAGAAAAAAGCAAAATAAGGAACAAATAATACTCTAAACAACAAATTCTGCATTTGACTTTCCAAGATCTTCTTTGTCATCAAAATTTGGAAGGTTCTGCCAAAACATCTGCTTCCTAGAAGGCATAGAAGGCAACAATACTTTTGAAATAGCCTCCTTTTTTTTTGTATTGATTCCCCTATCTGCGCCCTGCTTTTCGGGAATTTGTGGTTTAAACTTGGGTTTAAGAACCGTCGCCTCTTGGAACTCTTCATGTTCAAGTTCGCACTTATAAAAAATCTTGGTGGACCCCTTTTTAAATAGTACCGATTTAATATCATTCAATTTTGGCATACAGTTGGTTTTCTTTTTCTGCATGCATCCGTTCTCAAATTTTCTAAAGTCGTCAAACCTTAATGTTGTTACCTCATTCAACTTATTTGCAGACTTCATCAGTTTTTCAAGGTCTTCCATGTCCAAAATCTCTTTTGACTTACTCCACTTTTTGCCAATCTGTCCATGTATTGAATCAGCTTTCATGAAGCTATGCCCCGGCTCAAAGTATTTAAAAGTTATACTTTCGGGACCCCAATCTTGATTAACAAATGTAATACAGGCCGTAAAAAGTGTCCAATTTTTGTTTTGGGAGGTGCAGTTATCGCACCAGAAGATTAAGTGCTTTGTTTCATTCTGTAACTTCGTGACCACGTTGTAGTACGCTGACGCGACGTCAGCTGCGTTTCGACCCATTATAGCCTCGTGCCACAGTATGCATTTGTTGTATCCTTTTGATTTCAAATTAGCAAAGGTTTCATGAAAAACCACCAACCTACTAACAAAGAATGAATCCTTGGTTGACATCTTCGGTAGAAGTAAAACTTTCTGCATGTCCACGGCATATATTTCTGTATCATTATCGAAACCACCTGAACTGTCTTTGGTGTACATCTGTCTAGCTATAGTATATCTTTTTTTGTGTAATTGGTATTTCTCACAAGTATCACAATCGCTTTTCGCATTAGAAGAGACATTTGGATCAATTTGCTCTTTCTCTTCTTGACTAGAAGTTTCCGTCGTAGGATCGTCGGTTTTATGGGCATGCTGCTTATACACTGCGCACAAACCGCAGTCATCTTGCGTGGGTGCAGAAAAGCCAATGTTTTCTTTTTCAAAAACCTTCCTATACGTCTCGTAGCTGACAGTCTTGATTTTTGAGCTAAAATCCTTGTGCATTTGATGAATGGATAAATCCGGAGGAAGGTACCTTCTGTGTGGAGCGTGAGAAATGTTGTAGTGCGATACCTGGGGATGGTATGTTTCTATATGGTTTTTAATTACATTGTAGTTTTCTGACGCAACTTCTTTCATTTTTCTGGCGTGGGCCGCTCCTCGTTTATCTTGAAGATTAGGAAGATCATTGGCCGTCCTTTGTAGGAAGCAGGTGATCATCCCATCTGATTTTTTCCCAAGAGTACGAAGAAACATTTCTTTACACACAACAATCGGTCCACATCTAGAACTGCTTTCGGCGACAATAGAGTCAGACGAATTATTTTCTTCTTTAAACGTGGGAAGTGTATAGGAAACAGTAAATTTTTTATTCTTTTCTGCATCGACCTTCCGGTATTTTACTTCTTTTTTTTGTATGTATTTGTCCAAAAGTAATTGTTTATTCGAGAATTCAAGTTTATTAAAATATTCGAATACTTTCCGCCTTTCATTTTCTGATACTCGTTCTCTACAGCGCCTTCTACAATTCGTTTTACATGGTGACCTTAGTTTATCGTTTGAAATCTTGCTGTTCTTGTTAGTTTTTTTGCGTGTGACAGTTTCATTTCTTTCGTCAGGTACATCTAAAGGTGTGTTGTCTACATTCTCCTTCCAGTATTGAAGCACAAGATCGGTATAATCACTTACATTTCTCAAACCTTCACTTTCCCAAGGCTCGGGACTTGGAAAGATCATAGTCTGATCAGTATACTGCCATAGTTTATTTTTTTTCGTTGTGGTTCTTTTTTATGTAAATTATTCGTTAAGGAAAGATCTTTTTGGGTAAAATGTCTCGGAATCTCTTTTCGGCCGCTTTGTTTGACGGGCTTGTCTGGATCAAAATCCGGATCTTCGTCTGAATCATCCATAGGTGAAGGAGATTCCTCCAATACTGATTTTCTCGTAATCTCATCTACGGTATAATTTCTGGAAGATAAGAGAATTTACCTAAATAGTACACTTCAAGTACGTAAGAAATTGACGTTACATTTCGTTAATAGATTTTCTGCCTTGCTATGACGTAATAAGACATGCTTACCTGCTTTCAGCGGCCAGATTTACCAATTTTTGCCCTCGATTCATTTTCTCCACTCACAAGATACACGTCTTAATTCCAACCCGGTTGACGTCCGACACTCAAGTGAAATATATAACGTCTATTCTAATTAATCAAGTGTAAATATACTTGCGCATGTGCAATATTGCTACTTTTAATCCCGACAACTCGATATACGATAGTACTTTATTGGAATTTTGTTCGTTTTAGTTTTATTTAGTAGATTTAAGATGTTTTATTATTGTAAATATGAATATGTTACAATAGTAAGTAATTGCCACAATGATAAATTTGTACAATTCCATTACGTAAATGATGTAAGTCGAGTTACTAGGTTTTACGATAGTCAAGAAGAAGGTTCGTATTAAGGAAAAACCAAATCAACCAAGTAAATAGACTTTCTATCTAATTTATCCGATACCCAACTAGACATACTAAATTGGGATAGCTAATAACTTCGCAACCATTCACTCGATTGAAATGTTTTTAATAGCATTAGGTAGAACTCGGTTTGTAGATATAGGAAATTCAAAAATGTCATTTCTGTAGTAGGTCGAGTTACTAGGTTTCACTATGGCACGGCAGAACTGTTCACTCAATTTGCATTACAGGTAAGAATAAGTGAAATTTGAGATTACCTACCTATTTTTATAGCGACAGCGTACACCTCCAATTTGTTGTTAAGGGGACCCGGCGCCTCTTGCACATCTTTCGATTTCCTTCGGCCTTTTTCTTGCTTTATATTAACAATATTGCGCAGCAGGTGCAAATCCTACATTCATTGTTTACTGTTATCATAAAAGGAATCGTAAAATTGGACTTACCGAATATGTACGTAAAAACTGTAAAGGTCACGTGTGACCGACAGTAAATAACCCAATAAATCGCTTGCCTTCTCAAAATTGATTAACGTATAAATAATCCATTTATACGTTCGATGTAAGTAACAATCAATAACAGCTGTTTTGTTTTTGCGCAACCGCAAATAAAACATACCTACGACCTACGGCTACTTTCCTTCTCTAACGTAACTGCGCATTTGCATGCAGAGTAGTTTTCATTCATACCATTTTCATTTGATACATTAAATTTGTGTCTTATTCTTATGCGTTACATTTTATGCAGACCGAATTTCCATTGTATGTATAAGCACATTTAAAATGCGCTGTATTTTAATGCGGTGTATCGCATTCGCATAGAAATGATTCACAAAATAATTCGACGTTCATTTAAATTAAAAGATGCACTATTAAATTCATTGGAATTCAATGCTACATCTTAACCTTCGATTTAATTTTTATGCCATACCTTACGAATAATTTCATTTCCATAGGTAATGTCGCAACGGGTATCTATTTTAATCCCATACGTGACCCAGGCAGAAACAGTACGTCATTAAGTCGTCGGTGTGACGTAAATTACAAACGAAGACGTAAATTTCCCAAAACTGGACGTATTTATTACGTAAACAAAAACACCAAAATATTACGTAATATACTTACGTTATCTTTCGGTCGCAATAACGTCATGTTTTTATGTGATAAAATAAATTCTAAAACTTCTGATTATTGTATCAAAATTCAAAATTCGTGAAAATAAATTGATTTGATTCAAATCTAATGACACGAAAGAGTAAGTACAAGAAACAATACCTGAAAACGGCAACATCTTACACGCGCATTGAAGCAAGCTGGCATCGTGGCACCTTTTACGCATTCGCGCCATTCCAATGTAATGTTAGGTTAGGGTGTTGATGTGAATCACGTTTTATTGCGGTAATCATAATTAGATTGCAAAGGTAAATGTAAAATATTTGATAAGTATGTTAGTTAATTAATTTACGTACAATATGACCATTTGCCTCGATTATTATTTGCAGGGCGAAATGTTTTCATTAGTGGAATTTGCAGAGGAGTCTGGAGGAGGCTTGGCCATTATTCGGACAGAGTGGTTTACCCCTCGCAAACAAGAAGCGTTTTGGCCACCTACTAAACAGTCAAAAACATTTGAAAAGGTTCTTCTAAATGAAGATCAAGTAATCGACAACAAGTGGAAGCTTTGTTTCGTTCGGCGCACCTTATTTGAGTCAGGTACGTTTTATAAATTTAGATACTGGTAATATGAATAAACTGTGGAAGCATTTTGGCACATTGCATGGTTTTAAGTCATGAGAAGCATAACGATACACTTTTCCATACCATAATACTGTCAAGACGAATTGCGAAGTACAAAATTAGTAATGAATGGGATTAGGCCGATATGTAGCACACCGATATGTAGCACACGGCTTACGCAACTACCTATAATGTCATTAACATTATAGATAGTTGCGTAAACCGAAGCTGAGCTGTTGTTTATAATTACCCAAGTAACTTTAGAGCAGCTTACATGCTGATCGAAGTTATGAATTTCATATCGATAGTATAGTATACAGAACCCTAATAAATACTTTTATCAAACAGACGATTATGAACGTGTAAAAAGGAAGTTACCGAGGGCCGAATATACTTCTGATCTACAAAGTAGTGAGGCTGAGGTTGGAAGTCAAGGTGATGCAGACCAAGATAAATTTCAAAAAAGGAAACGTGCACCTTCTCGTAGACTACTTTCAAGTAGTAGTGACGAAGAACAAACTTCAAAGTTTCCTCGGCCACCTACTCTTAACTTAAACAAACAAAGTAAGTGTGACCTAAAACTGGATTATTTTACTTAATGCGTATGTTATTGGTATAAAGTAGTAAGACATGTACCATCTCCAAGGCAATTAGAGATCTGCGAACCTGTTCCTGATCTGAGTAGTGAACAATCCATAGCTTCCACGTCACAATCTTCACACAATGACAACAATACAACTCTAGCTTCTTGTTTATGTAGGTAGGTACCTAAATAAAGTATAGTATCTTGTATTTTTTCTTTTTAGCTCTTCAAAAAAAATTAGTCAATGATATTATTTTTATCAAAGAACAAAACAAATTAATAATAGAATTGCTGCGACAGCAAAAATTGACCCAAGAGAAAATCCAATTTGAAAATGC